CCAATTAACATACAAACCGCGAGCTACAGTCTCTGCCTCCTGATTCTCCAACGGGATTGCTTCTGGCCACTTAGTGAAACGGTCTGCGCAGGTTAAACAGTAGCTGTAGCCCTTAGATGGACGATATCCACGTGGATATGCTCGAATCTCGTTGACGGCGGTTGAAATGAACCTTTTTTGAGTTTTCTGGCATTACTGCCTGTCACAATAGTTGGACGTGATTAGATTATGGGGATGGGTATGGGAAGATGGGCCCAACGTAATATTGCTTGTCTGTCCCTAGGGATGTGTAAAAAGACGTTTTTCTACCACTACTACCTGTCAGTAGCTGAATGTGGGTCGGTTATTGGAGAGTATGTAGGGCAGTGGATCGTGGAGGGTAGGTCCGTTTGAGCTAAAAGCGATTGAATTTTGTTTGTTTAGCCCCAAACTAAAAAAGAATCATGTATTTTTTTATTTTTCCAACGGGGCTCAAAACCGCACTAAATGTCTCATTTAAAATATAATTGAAAAATGAACAGAAACATCTTTAGAGCTATTTCCATTAATATATTTTTTTCAACTTATCACTAGGATATTTGGAAATAAATTTATATTAAATTAGGTGAAAATTCGAAATATTTGGAATTATCCAAATTTCGTGGCTGAAAACATACATAGGTATTGTATTTTTGAAACCGAGAGTTGCACGAATCTAAATTTGTACAAGACATAGTTAATATCATGCGAAACATCTCCATAATGTTAAAAATCGCCGCCGTTCTTGGTTGTGAAAATTCGAATATTTGGAATTATTAAAATTTCATGGCTGAAAACGTACATAGGTACGCGAAACATCGCCTTAATGTTAAAAATGTTGTCACCGCCGTTCTTGGTGGTGAAAATTCGAAATATTTGGAATTATTCAAATTTACCACAACTTTCCTTACAATCTTCTTCAGAAGAGATATACAGGGTGTCCCGAAATTCATGCAACAAAATTTGGTCACAGATTCTTAGGACAAATTTAGGGGAACCGTATTTTTTATTTTTGCCAAGTTACCTCTTCCGGAGGTAACAACCCCCTGAAGTCCGCCCCTAAGAATAATCTTTTTTTTTATATCTCAGAACCCTGTTGTACGAGAATCACTAAATTTGGTACACAGGGGTTTTATGACATGTGGAATCTGATGGTGCAACGTTTTTTGGCGGGGAACCCCCTTAAGACAATTTTTCGTGGGCCCCTTTGTCTTTGGAGCCAAAAAAATTGGTCGCATATTTAAATTTATTTAAAATTATTTATCAGTCCACTAGAAAGCCATTAAATTTAGAAACTGTTTGTCCCTTTATACTTTTTTCGTAGAACGCAATGTTTTCGAGAAAAATGTCAAAATGTAATCGAATGCATATCGTGATTCGCCATTTTCCTCAAAAACATTGCGTTCTACGAAACAAATATCAAGAGACAAAAAAGTTTCTAAATTCAATGGCTTTCTAGCTAACTAATTAAAAAAAATCAAATTCTCTACCAAATTTTTCTGGGTCCAAAGACAAGGGGGCCCACGAAAAAGTGTCTTAAGGGGGTTTCTCGACAAAAAGCGTAGCACTGTGAGATTCCACATGTCATAAAACCCCTGTGTACCAAATTTAGTGTTTCTCGTACAAGGTTTTGAGATATAAAAAAGCCTTCTTAGGGGCAGATTTCAGGGGGCTGTAACTCCGAAAGAGGGGGCCAGTTGGCAAAAAGAAAAAATACGTGCCCTAAATTTGTCTTAAGAATCTATGACCAAATTTTGTTGCATGAATTTCGGGACACCCTGTATATTAAAAGTTTTTTGTAACATCTATATTGTATATATTCGGCTATAATAGGTAGATAATTAGAAAACGATATGGATTTAATTAGAAAAGTGTGTCCATAAAAACTATAATATGTTTGTAACAAGACTACTGATAAACTAAAAAACCGAAATTATCAATTTTCTTCTTTTTACACGGCCCTTCGAAAAGTGAAATTTATTACCGCATTTAGAATGCCAAAACTCCGGTAAACTCCAATATGCACGTGCGTGCTCTTTGTACGAAGCCTAAGACTTCCGGTTAAACAAAGCGTGGAAGCGTTACCCGGAAGAATGGGGGCGAAGTGGATGCCGGTTCATAAATAAGTTAGCACAAAGTTGTTTTACATATAATTCCTATGCTTTCTCCGCCCGTGGAAAGTTCGGAGGCGATTAGGCGCTTACTCACTGGTTTATTGAAAATTTAATTTTTTTATATAGGTACTTATAATAAAGTTTTAAGGGATCATCAGTACCGGATTATAATGTAACGGTCCCAATTACCGACCACGCCCTAATTATATTGTTATGAATTAGAAACTGTCAAAGTTTTTGCCCTGAAAACTCGTTAGTATGCCTTTGTATCAGCTGAATTTTGACATAAATGCTTCTCAGCTAAAATCACAAAAATTACAACATGGCTACCCAAGATATTGAAATTAAAAATTTTTTGCAAATGTCTCGCGTTCTTATGCATCGGACATCCATAACGCCAATGTGACGGTAGTGCAGGAATTTAATTGTCTAAAAGATCGGTTTCTTACATTTTTTCCCAAAACTTTCGAGATATCCAATGTCGAATATCTCGCTTACTATGCATCGGACGTCCATGAAGTCAATGTAAAAGTTGTAGAGAATTTAGTTATTTGCAAGATTGGTAAATCTACAGTATTCTAAACAATATACAGGGTGCCGCAGAAGCACGTGTATAATGGAAGACTACAGATTCATGGACTCAAAACAGGCAGATTTAGGCTTATTCATCTATATAAGAAATCGCTTCGTTTGGCCGCTACATGGCCTCAAAGTAGGTAAATTTTTTTTTGAATTTTGTAAATAACTCGAATACGTATTAACCGATTTTGATTATTTTTGGGGTGTGGACTTTTGCTTTCAATCTACAAATTGTGTTGTTATACAGAGTATTTTTTTTACTTACAAGTCCTACAAAATTAATATATGGTGATAAATTTCATAAATTCATAAATCAGTTCATAAATTTTTCATTTTTCGGGCAATATTGACAACTATTTTTTATTTGATAGCTGATACTATTTGGAAGTTTTTTATTCGAAAATCAGGCTTTTTTAGAAAAACATGAGAGTAGTAATTTGTACAAAATTGAAAGACGAATCCGAAAATATCATGGTAGTTACCGCAAAGCAGTGGCATACTATTTTATTTAGAAACATATGCCAGCGATACCCTGTATCTCCGCCACTGGAGCACACAAATTTTATGAAAAACCCTCACATTTTGGACAATATTTACCTAAATACATGTGTCCAATTTCAGATTATTTCACTTACTAGTTTTTAAATTATTTAAAGAAATTAACACCCTGTATCTTTTTAACGAAACGTCCTAGATAAAAACTTTATAGGAAGAAAATCACCAAAGAATACAATGTTTAATTTTTGGAACCACCCTGTATAACCCATATGTAAATTCTCGGCAAAAAATATTGTTTGCCTAAAATAACACCTATAAAAAAAATTCTACTTTAATTTGACTACGCCAAATTCATTAAAAAATTTTTTTTTAGTAGTTTGAGCCAACATGTAGGTGCTTATTTCGGAAGAAATTTCCAACTCTAAATTGGGAAAACTCAACAAAAAAATATAGGTAATGAAGTAATGAAGCTAGCAGATAAAAATTAAGATAGTGAGCCATTCCAAAAAAAGAGTTTTTGAAAAAATGTATACACAAAAGTTGTTTTCGATGAGCTAAATACTTGGTTTAAATGTTGGCACTCGTTTCTGGAACACCCCTTATAGGTGCGACAAAAATCGTTGAATGGATAACACCGGATGTCTAATTTTCTATGTCCTATAGAATATTATAGTGGAAAAATAAATAATTTCGATCATCCCAGTTGTTTCCTTTCAACAATAACACATACCAACAAAATTTAACTTTTTTTGGAAGCAGAATCTTGAATATATATTTCCGAAGGATTTAGGTGCGCTGAATCCGAATCTGGTAGCAGAATTGCTCTATCACGTCAGGATTTTGAGATATAACAACCTAAAAGTGCAAAAACACTGTTTTCCGTCATATTTGAGGTTATGTAGTAATGCCATCTATTCTGCGTCAAACAATAGAAGTACAAGGCTCCCTCCTTCGAATGCCGTTGAATTTGCTCAAATATGTATTTTTTTTTTTTTCGTGGAGATATCACATGTTGAAATTTTTAAGTTTCTCAGTTTCTTAATATGCGAAAATCTACTAAGGATCCCTTAGCCATCAAGCAGTCGATTGCGATTCAGAAACTTCATACCCATATGGTTTGTGGGTTTGGAGTTGGTGGGTTAAGGGTTTGTAAGCTTGGAGTTTGTAGGTTCGGGTTTTGTAGGATTGGGGTTTGTGGGTTTAGGGGTTGTGGGTTTGGGGTTTGTGGGTTTGTGGATTTGGAGTTTGTGAGTTTGAGTTCGTATGTATTGAAGGTTTCTGAGTATGAAGTTTCTGAACTGCAATCAACTGTTTGACGTCTAAGGGATCCTTAGTAGATTTTTGCATATTAAGAAACTGATAAACTTAGAAATTTCAACATCTGATATCTCAACGAAAAAAAAAGATATTTGAGCAAACTCAACGGCATTCGAAAGATGCACTTATATGCACTTTTAGGTTAGGATATCTCAAAAACCTGACGTGATGGAGCAATTCTGCGGCCAGATTCGGATTCAGCGCACCAAAATTCTTCGGAAATGCATATTAGTGTGTCTGCTTCGTGACCCTTGTTGATCTGTGTAATTGTTGAACTTTATAAGTGAAAGTATCAGTTTTAGTTCAAATATTATCAAAAATGTGTAAAATTATCAAAATGCCCAATATTGACTGAAAATGTACTCAATAATTTCACTCAATAGATTCACTCAGCTTTCACTCAGACGTCCTGTATATCACTGACTAATTGGACTACCCCATACAAATGGATTCACATTATTAATTCTGTTGCAGCTCAAGACGGAGACCTCCCATTCTCACCCGTGCTGGGGATCCTAATCGGCGCCGCATTAACCATAATCATCGTCATAGTACTGGTGATAATCAGGGTGCGCAGAGCCCAAAGTCAGCCGGAAGCCAGCCTCGAGCAGAAGGTATCAGGAGGACCGCACAACAACACGGTGTCCTCCACTAAGCCTCTCCTGAGAAGCGCCTCTCCCAGAGAGGCGGACGAAAGGGATCCCGACGTCATTCCGGCCAAATACGGTAAAGTAATGTAATAATTTCTCGGGGATTGTCTCGAAAATAAAGTTTCAACTCTTTGGGGAACAAGCCAAGATGGTAGAGATTAAGGACGAATCTATCGATGTTTGCCTACAAGGACGAGTCAAGTATGGACATAAACTTCTTCGTGTTTTTAAAAAAGGAGTTTTTTTATATTGTGGAAATAATAATGCATTTATTGACTAGCAGAAAACGTTCCATTTAGAGGATATAATGAGTAGATAATTATAATATAAGCATACTACTATACAATAAATAAATAAGACAAATAAATAAACTAAATAAAAAATAAATAAACAGCAAAGAGAAAAAAAGCAAAACCTTTATCTAATATTGAAAATTATTGAAATAATCGGGGGCAATTCTTACCAAATCATTAAAATTACAATGAAATGAGTCACCCTGATCTGCTATTTGGTTATAATTATTAGCCATTAAATAAAGAGGAGATTTTACAAGCACATTTGTTCTAGCACTTCAACAATAAAACAGTGAAGCCTCACGAGAGCCAGGTCTCGGAATACGTACCTATATTAAAAAGATAGATTAAAGCCTGAGAATCAACCATGCCATGAAACAATTTAAATAAAAAAAGATAAACTTGCAACCACCTTTCTAGTATTCAGCGACTGCATACTAAACCTTTGTAACAGTAATTGGTGGTTGTATCCCCTGTCAGGATAAAAATTGTCAAGACGAAAAGACAGGAATTTGAGAAAACGCCGCTGTATTCTTTCCAAGTTGTTACTGTATATCTGATTCGAATATTCGAGTTTCGAGCGTACCAGTGAATACTATAGACTCTTCAATGCACCTGTATCAGTAAAAGATTTTGTACTTCTTGTAACAAAGCCTAGCATACTATAAGCGGATTTAATACTTGAATTAATATGATCAGCAAAAGACAATCTGCTGTCAAACATTACACCAAGATCCTTAATGTTCTGAAAACAAGTTAATGGTAACATACCTATATTATAATCAAATATGAGGGGCTGATTTCTAAGAGTAAACGTACACACTTTGCATTTTTTTTTGTATTAATATGTAAATAATTATCCGTACACCATGTATAAACATGATCCACACAATAACAAACAATCAGCCGCAGATGATATATTCAAGAACAATTTCAAGTCGTCGGCAAACATAAGATGATTTGACTTTAATGTTAGAAATAAGTCATTTACAAATAATATAAAAAGGAGTGGCCCCAAGTTAGAGCCTTGAGGTACTCCCGATGCCGCATTTAAAAGTATTCGACTTGAAACCATTATAAGAGTCATACATCTTTCGATGATATTGGTAAAAATTGAAAAGGCGGAGTAAGCTATAACTGAAACCATACCGTTCCAACTTACGTAGCAATATATGTACTATGATTAACCTTGTCAAAGGCCTTTGAGAAGTCTATGTAAATGACATCAACTTGCCCTTTGTCGTCAACATGGTTGGCCGTATACTGGGTCAAACTCGGCCAGATTAGATAAAGTTGAACGATTCGGAAAAAACCATGCTGATTTGGTGATATGTACGACTTTAAGTCATCTAATATTTGTTTATACAGACACATCTCAAAGACCTTTGCAATGTTTGACAATATGGCAATAGGACGATAATTTTTTACATCCGCAGGGTTACCGCTTTTTAAAATTATACCGGACGTACAGACGTTCAGACGCTTTAATATACAAAAGGTCTAAATCAACTGGATTTCGACATAGAGGATACTGAAATTTAACTCCATTTTTGGTCCAATTTTTAAAAAACAAAAAATTTACTTCAATGGTTTTTAAAATACAACAAACAGACGTTTACTTAGTTTGCAAGGCCTACATTAAGCACAGGCAATTGTCAATTTTTTATGATGGAATGACATATTTTCGAAAAATTAACGAGAAAAATATGCAAAATATTCACACTAATTTAAGTGTTCTAACAAAATTGTCAGGTGTGCTACGAAAACAATCAAATCAGCTCAGTGATAAATATCATTTAAATGTCTCGCTGATATGTATGGGAACAGTCGATTATCTCTTAAAGTAAGATAGCTATCGAAAAATCATACGATACAAACGTTTTAGGGTTTTTTAAAATCTATTTCAGTAAAGAAAAATTGAGTATACAGAATCAGTCAAAAAGTTATGAGGAAACAAATTTTGTTTTTTCTTTAATCGAACACCCTGTCTGCATATTATGCCATAATTCAATACTTCTCAAAATTCTAATGTACCCAAACTTAACCATTTTCGAGATATCGAACTTTGAAACTCATTTTGTTGTTAATTATACAAAATTATTTTAGTCCATTAAGTTTATAGTCCATCAACCTACCTTTGAAAGTTTTTAGCTCCATAATAACATCGCTCTTTTGTCTGACAACACATGTCAAAAATACATTTAGTGTGAATAATTTTCTCGCAAAAATGGCTCATTTAATATAATATAATGAACTTAAAATATGGTGACGAAGTTGTGAAGAAGGATATTTTTCATGAATTGCATTCCGATAGAGAACGTATTTCTAAAGCGTTTCAAATACATTGCAGCATTTTCATGCAACGGTAGGTGTTACAGATCGACGAAAAAGTGGTAAGACCTGTAAGCGTTGCAAATGAAGAAAATGAATTCTTTGAATGTCATGTTAGATGTAGTGGACAATCCAATAAATTCGACACAACAGAGGGCTATAAATCATAACACAAGTCGATATTCCATTAAAAAAAAAATTGTAAACGGGAAAAATTACATTACATACAAAATTCATTTGTTACAAGAATTGACTGAAGACTATTATGATCATAGAATCGAGTTATTATGGACAAATTAAACGAAAATGTCAACTTTGTCACCCACATATTGTTTTCTGATGAATCTGCATTTTGTTTAAACGGGCACGTAAATCGACACAACTGTAAGTATTGGTCAAGATCAAAATCTACCTTGGATGGAAGAAGTTCACACCCTACAAACACAGAAAGTAAATGTTTGGTATGGCATTATTGGTGCACACGTCTTAGGACCCTATTTTATAAACGGAAATTTGACATCTGAACGATATTTATTACTTTTGCAAGAACATATTATTCCAGAGCTTAGACGATGGTTCCCAAGTAATAATAATCCCATTTTACCCGCAGAACACAATATGGTTTCATCATGGTGAGGCTCCTCCACATTTTGGACGTGTGGTATGGGCATATCTACAAGGTGTAAGAAGTTTGACTGCCATTACTTCGAATTTTAAATTTATTTCAACGCTAATTATTTTATAGAATTAAGCATAATGAAGTTCAAAAAAGTGATAAACATTGTATTTTACGGTATTCTATGCACGCAGTTGTGTCAATATTCCTTATTAATTTAACTTTTGTACATCAAGTTGAAGATTTTTATAATTTTTTTCTCGGAAATGGTTGAGTTTATTACCCATGTCATATAAGGTTTTTTTTGTTTATTTTAATGTATTCTATCGTCTGTTAAAATTAAGGCAGTCAAACTTTTAACACCCTGTAGATGAAACTTTGCTTGATAAATGAATTGAACGCAAAGGCACAATTGAATGGCCAGCTAAGTCTCGCGATAAATGTAGTCTACAAAAACAGGTCGCAAAATACACTGGTAAACACTGTTTTTGTCACACGAACTTTGTGATGATTTTTATTTATTTTGATGTACTCTCATTCAAAAATAATCATTATATTGTTTCAGTCACATCCAGTTTTTTTGCGACAGCTATATATTTATTTCTGACCTCATTTACGTGTTTTTGTTTGAATAACTTAATTTAGGCGACTCTATAACGATTGCATTTAACTAACTTACGTTTGTTACATTGTAAATATGCCGCGAAAGTATTCTAATAACTCAAACAGTTTTTGTTATGTGTGTGGAGAATTACTAACTAACTTTTATATCTCAGCGTCGAAAATTTACGCCATTAATTGAAAAGTGCTATTTAGACTATTTTGGTTTTCCTGTGCGCCACCAAGATAAATCCCGGGTTCCACATATACATATGTTGTGTAACGTGTGTGAGACTCCTATTAGGTTAAGCTAAACAAGAATCTAGACATTTGCCTTATGGCATACCAATGATTTGGACGGAACCAAAAGATCATGTAAGTGATTGTTATTTTTGTTTGATTCAAACAAAAGGCGTTACAACCAAGTCCAAACACACTGTCCAGTACCCAAACTTGTCATCGGCCAACAGACCAATTCTATATAGTGCCGAATTGCCTGCCCAGAAAGGCAGGATTCTGTTCCTAGTCGGGAATTTGTTCTTAGTCAACACGATGAGGTATCTCAAGAGAATGACCCAAGTTATGAACCGTCAACTTCAAAAGTCACTACACAAAGAAAGTATGGCCCAAGCGTGAATCACTTACTCCAGGGCAGAAGAATGTTAAAAATGATCCTTTAGTGAACCCTGACGACATACTTTTACCACCGTTGCATATAAAGCTCGGCCTGATGAAAAATTTTGTAAAAGCTATCCCTAAAGATGGCAGTGGATTCTTATACCTGAAATAGAAATTCCCCAAACTCAGCGAGGCAAAAATTAAAAGAGGGAATATTTGTTGGTTCACAAATACGGCAACTAATGAAGAATACAAACTTTGAAGGAAAGCTGAATGATCAGGAAAAAGTCGCCTGGAAATGTTTTGTGAAAGTTGTCCAAAATTTTCTAGGAAACCATAAAGCGGAAAATTACAAGGACAATCAATGAGCTTATAATTTCATACAAAGCTTTGGGATGTAATATGTCTTTAAAAATGCATATACTGCACTCTCATCTGGATTTCTTTCCCGAGAATTTGGGTGCTGTGAGTGACGAACAAGGCGAGAGATTTCATCAGGACATTTCCTTAATAGAAAAGCGCTATCAAGGAAAATGGAGTCCAGGAATGCTAACAGATTACTGTTGGAGACTTAAAAGTGACCTACCAGAAGCCAAACATTCACGAAAATCATAGCTA